ACAGAGGAAGTTAATCACCGCACGGAGTGGACAGAGGTGGACAGAGGAAGTTAATCATCGCACGGAGTGGACAGAGGAAGTTAATCACCGCGCGGAGCGGACAGAGGGAGTTCATCACCGCTAGGATTAGACAGAGGGAGTTCATCACCGCTAGGAGTGGACAGAGGGAGATCATCACCGCTAGGAGTGGACAGAGGGAGATCATCACCCGCAGAGGATCATCACCGCTAGGACAGAGGGAGATCATCACCGCTAGGAGTGGACAGAGGGAGATCATCACCGCTAGGAGGAGGGGACAGTGGACAGAGGGAGATCATCACCGCTAGGAGATCATCACCGGAGTGGACAGAGGGAGATCATCACCGCTAGGAGTGGACAGAGGGAGATCATCACCGCTAGGAGTGGACAGAGGGAGATCATCACCGCTAGGAGTGGACAGAGGGAGATCATCACCGCTAGGAGTGGACAGAGGGAGATCATCACCGCTAGGAGTGGACAGAGGGAGATCATCACCGCTAGGAGTGGACAGAGGAGATCATCACCGCTAGGAGCGGACAGAGGGAGATCATCACCGCTAGGAGTGGACAGAGGGAGATCATCACCGCTAGGAGTGGACAGAGGAGATCATCACCGCTAGGATTAGACAGAGGGAGATCATCACCGCTAGGAGTGGACAGAGGGAGATCATCACCGCTAGGATTGGACAGAGGGAGATCATCACCGCTAGTGGAGGGAGATCATCACTAGGAGAGGGAGATCATCACCGCTAGGATTAGACAGAGGAGATCATCACCGCTAGGAGGAGTGGACAGAGGGAGATCATCACCGCTAGGAGTGGACAGGGAGATCATCACCGCTAGGAGTGGACAGAGGGAGATCATCACACCGCTAGGAGTGGACAGAGAGGGAGATCATCACCGCTAGGAGTGGACAGAGGGAGATCATCACCGCTAGGATTGGACAGAGGGAGATCATCACCGCTAGGAGTGGACAGAGGGAGATCATCACCGCTAGGAGGGAGATCATCATCACCGCTAGGAGTGGACAGAGGGAGATCATCACCGCTAGGAGTGGACAGAGGGAGATCATCACCACCGCTAGGAGGGAGGACAGAGGGAGATCATCACCGCTAGGAGTGGACAGAGGGAGATCATCACCGCTAGGATTGGACAGAGGGAGATCATCACCGCTAGGAGTGGACAGAGGGAGGACAGAGGGAGATCATCACCGCTAGGAGTGGACAGAGGGAGATCATCACCGCTAGGCTAGGGACAGGACAGAGATCATCACCGCTAGGAGTGGACAGAGGGAGATCATCACCGCTAGGAGAGGGAGATCATCACCAGACAGAGGGAGATCATCACCGCTAGGAGTGGACAGAGGGAGATCATCACCGCTAGGATTGGACAGAGGGAGATCATCACCGCTAGGAGGACAGAGGGAGATCATCACCGCTAGACAGAGGGAGATCAGAGGGAGATCATCACCGCTAGGAGTGGACAGAGGGAGATCATCACCGCTAGGAGTGGACAGAGGGAGATCATCACCGCTAGGATTGGACAGAGGGAGATCATCACCCGCTAGGAGATCATCACCGCTAGGACAGAGGGAGATCATCACCGCTAGGAGATCATCACCGGACAGAGGTGGAGAGGGAGATCATCACCGCTAGGAGTGGGAGGGAGACAGAGGAGATCATCACCGCTAGGATTGAGAGAGGGAGACAGAGGGGAGGGATCATCACCGCTAGAGGGAGTGGACAGAGGGAGATCATCACCGCTAGGAGTGGACAGAGGAGATCATCACCGCTAGGATTAGACAGAGGACAGAGGGAGATCATCACCGCTAGGAGAGGACAGAGGGAGATCATCACCGCTACCGGAGTGGACAGAGGAGATCATCATCACCGCTAGGATTCACCGGAGGACAGACAGAGAGATCATCACCGCTAGGAGTGGACAGAGGGAGTTCATCACCGCTAGGAGTGGACAGAGGGAGATCATCACCGCTAGGAGTAGACAGAGGAGGACAGAGGAGTTCATCACCGCTAGGAGTGGACAGAGGGAGACCGCTTAGGGACAGAGGAGATCATCACCGCTAGAGTGGACAGATCATCACCGCTAGAGAGTGGACAGAGGGAGTTCATCACCGCTAGGACAGAGGGAGATCATCACAGAGGGAGATCATCACCGCTAGACAGAGGGAGATCACCGCTAGGAGTGGACAGAGGGAGATCATCACCGCTAGGAGTGGACAGAGGGAGATCATCACCGCTAGGAGTGGACAGAGGGAGATCATCACCGCTAGGAGTGGACAGAGGGAGATCATCACCGCTAGGAGTGGACAGAGGGAGATCATCACCGCTAGGAGTGGACAGAGGGAGATCATCACCGCTAGGATTAGACAGAGGGAGTTCATCACTAGGAGAGGGAGTTCATCACCGCTAGGATTGGACAGAGGAGATCATCACCGCTAGGATTAGACAGAGGAGTTCGTCATCACCGCTAGTGGACAGAGGGAGTTCATCACCGCTAGGAGTGGACAGAGGGAGATCATCACCGCTAGGAGTGGACAGAGGGAGTTCATCACCGCTAGGATTGGACAGAGGGAGTTCATCACCGCTAGGAGTGGACAGAGGAAGTTCATCACCGCTAGGAGTGGACAGAGGAAGTTCATCACCGCTAGGAGCGGACAGAGGAAGTTTATTAGCGCACGGAGTGGACAGAGGTAATTCATCACTGCTAGGAGCGGGCAGAGGGAGATCCTCATCACGAGGAGTGAACAGGGGAAGATTTTCGCCGCGAGGAGTGGACAGAGGAAGTTCACCAGTACGAGGAGTTGACAGAGGTCGTTCGTCACCGCACGGAAAGGACACCAGGAAGTTTGTAAACGCACAAAGTGGACGGCTGAGTTAGTTACTGCTTGTTGGTCTCGGTAGTAGGGTTTAGCGAACTGTTAAGCGCCAAGCAATGATGTGCAGCTTGCGTATGAGAACAATGGAATGTACTGCATGACACATGATGTGCGAGAATTAAATGGGTGTTGTCAATGCCTCGTGCTCCGTGACGAAGAAAGTTACTGTCCTCGTTTCCATAATAAACCGGAAATTATTGAATTATCACGGTATGATGTACGTTCTGTACACGTTTGTTAAACATAATGATAAAATATGGTCGTTGTGCTCCTATAAGGCTACCACTAAATACTAAGGGATAAGAAAGTAACCAGTGACCTTAAATTTGATGGGTATATTTATCTACTCGGATAATCTAAAATTCAGAAATTGCCGAGTGCCATTTTGGTCATGCTACTTGATCCAGACTCTGTTTTTCATGCGTCGCATGGGGCACCGGGTGTGCAGTCGTCTAGATCGTCCCCGTTCCCAACTGTGAACAGAACGCCTTCATTCCACACGACAATGAAACGCACCCATTTGACTGAAATGTTGCTTATAATGCGCACTCAACCGACTGTTCATTCAACTGCTTCCTTCCTGTAGGTTGTAGGTAGAAGACAAGTGAAAATTCACAAGAAGGCTGAGCACTAAGTAAAAACATTCTTTTTTCAAATTTCATGGATTTATACACTGTCATATATTCAAGAGTAAAGAAACCTTTTTGACCTTGGTCTCTGCCTTTGTGACAGTTACATCTGATTCAATTTATTTTGGTGTTCTCTGCTGCTTCTCTTTCTTGTTCTGCTTCTGCTTGCAGTGCAGTCTGTGGAATGGATTCCATATCTGAAAAATTGACATCAAATGATTTCTCTGTATATATTTTAATTCCTGAATACCAAAGAAAACAGAATAAATCATCTTCTTAAGACACGTCTGTTCTTCTTTTCCAGATGAAGTTTTCCCATAGCCACACCAAACAGGCATAATAAAGCAGAATCAAAGTGACAGATGTTTTTGTCTCCTTTTTCTGATGTAGATATGATCAAATGAAGATTATTTAAGTCTTATTGGTATATTGTAAACCGACCAACCCAAATGTAGAACACAGTGGCTACGTGGAACACATGAAAAGCATTTACACTGCTTAGCACTACCTGATTTCAGGACGAAACAATACTTGTTTAACGCATTAAAGCAAGGTTGAAACTCAATTTCTTGCATAGTCCTTAAATTTTATCCTTAAAGCGAAACATTCTGTGTGGACGTCCCAGTGATTATAATTGTGAAGCAGTATTTTGCAGCTTTTTGAGAAAGGGTGGTGTGTGTGTGTGCGTGCGTGCGCGCGCACACTTCATTTTCACCCGTTTTCACGAGAGTTTCAATGGTCCGCCTGTGTTTTAGCATTGAATGAATTTGTACTTTGTTTATCTAGCTTTCGTCCCTGTTACCCAAAGCAGTTAGATCGACTAAACTGTTTTAAATATGTCTGCAGCATCACTTCCAACACTCAACAACCCTGCCCAAATGCTATATCCTCGTTCTCGCAATGACGCAACAGCAGCCATCTTCAGAAACCAGCCGACCAAATTCACTTGTGGTGATTTAAATAATTTAATCTGAAAGCCAACATGTTTCCATTACAGGCCTAAATGATTTTCCATTATTTCATTATGATATGATATAGACTGTAAAGCATGTTGACAAGTTTAAATAGCTGTCACGTGATTCCACCACTTCCTTGATCACTCTTCCGGTACGGCGCCTCTTTTCAGATGTGTTCACAGCACCCAGGTAATGCGACCATCTCGCACGTCTCTCATCATACCTCGACGGCTTTCAACATCCGATTACATGAAAACAAATATGTACATAACGAATAAATAGAGACGTCGAAATTTGTCATTAGAGACAAATAAGATACAAAGCACTCAGCATAAGGCGTCGCTTTTCAAACAAAGCAAATTATATGTTTGATGGAATTAGATATTGAACGGTGATTATTATATTGAAATAAAAGTTAGTCGTTTTAACCCCATCAACGCTGATGTATTTCAATACGTGTGAGTCATGGTTCTGTCCAGATATGATGACATTTTTCAAAAGAAAAGGGGTTGCTGACTAGTCCAAAGGAAAGTGCGTTTGTCTACTTCGTGAAATTCTCAGGTACGAATTCCGCATATCCCTCAGACGGTCATGGCTTGATCTTTCATCCTGTTAGGGAACAGATAAACGTCTGACAGAACCAGACGAGGAGAAGAATGTAGATTGAAACAATTCAAAGCCACAAACGTGAACAGGAGCCACGCATTGAGCACTCGCGTATTGTCCCGATGGACGAGCACTCCTTGTATTACCTTCCCACGTCTTTTAACCGTCGATTGATTGCTTCAGATGTGCAGCATAATATACTCCGTTCATTGTCTGGCCTGGGAGATAGTCCACCCCGATCACACTCTCGGCATCCCAGAAAACGAAGATAATAATCCTCCCAGCAGATGGGTTAATCTTTGCCTGCTTTGTTGGTGGTGTCATATGCATTTGATCTTCAATTTCTTTAATTGTTGGTGATCTTCAATTTCTTTAATTGTTGGTGATCTTCAATTTCTTTAATTGTTGGTGATCTTCAATTTCTTTAATTGTTGGTGATCTTCATTTTCTTTAATTGTTGTTCGGACTCAACACACCACTGCAAAAACCTTTCTGAATCAGCTATAAAGAAAGATGTCAGAACATCGTTAGATATTTTATTAGGGATGAATATCGATGATGTTAGAATGGACTCTTCTGGGGAAATGCCCCCCTTAACGAGCAATATGACTTTCACTCGTTTGTCAGTGGGTCGTCCCCATATTGTGTATTATCTGGATCGTTTCTTCAGGGAGGAGGTCGTGTTCAAGGTTCTCCCCGCCAGTCTTAAACTCTGCTGTCCATCCCTTTACCGTGGCATAGGTGCATCTTTCTCTTGCCTTGCTCGCACATCGTCATGGATGACTTTTGTCTGGTCATTTTCCATCACAGACACCTGATGACATAGCGATATTGTGCTCAATTAACTCAAGTTTGTATATTGATATACATCTGTCTTAATACTCATATCATGAAATGACCACAAAGAAAAATATCGCAATGTGTTCTATGTAAGACTCAGAGCTTTGAATCCTCCTATAATCGGCGACGTTTCAACGCTTATCCAAGAGACGATAACTTGTTCACAGGGAGAAGCTGAGTGTATGCTGGAAGGGAAACAAAACCAGTTTTGACCCCTGATACCATAAACACCACCATATATATATGTCATGCAAAATGACGAAAACATTTGCCTCATCGGGGTTGAGTCGGGTTCGATGCCGTCACTTTGACCAGTAATCCAGATATATCACAGCTTATATTTTTGATTGGGACAAAACCCCGGACTGATGCTGACCTCAGACGTTTACCGCTATGTTGAAGACCATGACCACGAGTCCTGTGCTGACAAAACAAGAAACGCAATCAGGGCAAATCGGGAGTTGACCAAGATCCTATGGTGCCCAAAGGACAAACTCTGCAAAGCAAATTGCGGAGCCTTAGACGATTGAGCCACCCATGGCCTCGTTGTATAATGTGGCCCGTGAGTTTGTATACTGTATGGACAGTAGACAGCTTTGAACATGGATGGCCCGTGGGCCCGAGGTTATCATTCGTATACATACTGATTAGTTGCACATCGTTCATGGACATGATGTACAACCAAACCTGTTGAGGGTATGATATGTACTCTGTTACGCATTAACTTTGATACCACTGACGGATATTGACTTTATATGCATGTACATCATGTACTTGCATATGAAGTCAATGTCCGTCAGTCCAGGAACACCGCTTTCGGATCCTACATCCTTTATCCTACATTTATATGTAGTAATAATCAAGGCATTCTGAAATTAGTTCATCCGGACGGCTTAAATGAAACTTTAGGATTAAAGAGGTTAATCAAGGATATTCAAGGATATTCGTGAGGCTACTACGAGTTCTATGACGGATAATTTGTTATTCCTGATATGCAAATGAACGGCCTTTAAGTTAATGTCCAGCTGTACCAAAAAACAACAACACCACAATTGTTTCAACAACAACTTTCTAGGTCCCTCTTCCCCTCCACAACGGTAATAATATAACCACACATTATACCCATTGTTTCACCTCTGTTACGCTTAGAGTTAAACATATAACCTAAATATTTATATATTTTAAATGTGTTTTCAAACAAGAATATGAAACCCCATATGGAATAACCCATATCACATTTAATGAAACTCAAATCATACAGTGTAGCCGTGTATAAGCACAACTACATGCATTACATTACATGCATGGCACGAATCGTAATCATGATTCCAGAACCATTCTGGAACAAATCTTTAGAAAAAGCCATCGCCAACACACACGAGACCAATGGTGATACTTTTAGATATGTATACGATAAGCGGAGCGATGAAGCGACTTGGTCACGTGTCATTATTTGTTGTGTTTAGCGACGAGGTTTTTGTCGTCGTGGATGACTGAGTCTTTTGCTGCGTCCGTTCTGGCAGTGTTCTATATGTTCCAGATCACTGGTGAAACATGATGGCTTCAAGCTGACCACAGATAACGCCCTGGAACAACGCTCTGTCACTCACTGAAACAGAAGGGGAACACGCTTTATGGTTTGTAAACGTGATACACAATACCGTGGTACAACAGGTTGCAGGTATCAGTGTCAGTGTGTGTCAGGGTGGCTCAGTGGTGTAATGTGCAGGATTCGATCCTTTAGTCACTAACTCACTCGGTAGGTGCCGCAACTCGATATACAGGGTCCAGTCCTTTTGCTGCTAACACAGATAGCCGCAGGCTTGTGGTTTTGCTGCCAATTCATTCACTCACTTGATTGCTGGAGTCACAGGTTACCTTTTCCAATCATTCAATAAAATATCGTTGAACTGAAACTCAAACTTTTATTCTTCATTTTTGTAATGTATCAGTGTAAAGCGCGTTTGGTTAACAGAACCATTAAGAATCCAAGCTCTCTTTCAGTAAAACAACAAATTAATGGGGTATGTTTATCGCTGCTTTGTATTTGATTTTGGTTGAGTCACAGCAGGGCTGTTCAAGATGGGAGGAAAGCCCGGAGTGATACATGTCGTAAATGCTCACAGCTTGACATCGGGCAGAGTGCTGACACACTAAATTACCTTACACTGAGTTGTATAAACAATGTTATACACGTACGTTGTTGAAAATAGTGCTTTTTCGCACGTTTCCCCACACAACATCACTGACTTACCTAAAAACAGCAATAGGTCTTTTTAATACATATCTAATATAGCTATGAAATTGTTTCAGTCACCAGTTGACGTTCATCATAAAGCAGGGCTTAGTTCCGGTGCTGGGAGTGGTAGGTGTAGGTTTAGTAAGTATTGAGCCATTAGCCATTGATTTATAGACATAATAAACATATGTTTGAGCTGACCCTGTGATATTCTGGACAGGGCGGGGACGGCGCTAAAAAAGAAATACGTTGACCTCACTTTGTACTCACATAAAAAACCTGTCCTTTGGACATGCTGGACATCTGCATTTTGTGTTCACTGATGTATTTTCTATGTTTTGAAGTGGTTCGTGATCACGTGATCTATATGCAGTTTACAGACCGAATATAGCTGGAATATTGCTGAGTGAGGCGCGTCAAACAAACAAACAAACAAACAAACAAACAACAAGGTGTTATATGCCGTCACCTGTTTCGAAACACCCATTGCTATGATGCATGCAATATCGCCTATGATACCCCCAAGACGTGTATACGTCTTTGGACACCCATATCAAATACACCACCATCAAAAAACCACGTCACGTTTATCTAATCTTAAGACCCCATCAAATATGTGTGCATACTTTATTTGCCCGATAACCTAGGTTACAGTCAAAGGGTAACGACTTGCAATGTGCTACATATGAGTCTTTTGCAAGTTTCTTAAAAGTCAAAGTGAAAGTTTACTAACCCTGCACCCAAACATTCAAGAACGTGTACTTGCCACACAGGCTCTGTAGTAACACCCTTTTCGTTTGCATTACTCCAAGGTGTGTCATCATGAGACATGTGGCACCTGAGTTCACCTGTCATCAACATTGTTTCGACTTTTCTCGGATGCTTGATTCACTTATCGGGCCATAAATTCCCCTGTATCCACCCAGTACGGTACATTAGCTTGTGTGAGAAGGTGCGATGGGCAGAATTAACACCCCACCTCCACACACACAGGCCAGCCTGACCCTTCTCCGGCTGTTTATTGTTTCGGGACATTTGTTCATCATGGAACAAAGTCAATCAGCCAAGGAACCCAGCGCGCAATCTTTGTAGAGGCACTGTCGGGCGGGGTATTAAACTTTAATGACATCTACACTCACATATGTTAGCTTCACACTGTATGTACAGGATTTAACAAACACTTTATTCACGCGGGTGAGCTGTGAACATGTTTGAACATAGACTGATGCGCGAGACTGGATGCTTCAGTTCATCCAGTTTATGGACCAACACGTTGGGAAATGTCCATGTGAGCTATAAGTGACCACAGCGTCTCCGTTGAAAGGGTGCATTTGAGTACATCGGTTGTATCTGGAACAAAGTCAGTCAAGCCAATGAATTTTGTAGAGGCACGGTAGGGTGGAATATTAATCTTTAACGACATCTAGACTCACATATGTTAGCTTCACACTACTTTATGAAAGACAGAATGAGAGAGAACGAAAGCGAGCGAGAGAGAGAGGGAGAGAGAGAGAGAGAGAGAGAGAGAGAGAGAGAGAGAGAGAGAGAGAGAGTGAAAGAGAGTGAGATGAATACAAAATAAAAGTGGTTACGAACAGGTGCCCTACTATAGTGTAGTACTGCAGTTTAATTGTGTGGTGTCCGCGCTTGAAAAAGGGCCCCATTTACACCTTCTCCTGCTTTGAAATCCCCATTTAGACACTATCGGCCTATCAGTTGCGTATCTACATGTATACATAGTCAATATGCAAAACGTACGAACAATCGACATTAACATATAAAACTATGTAAACAAAAGCTAGGTTTTTCCTATCGAGTGATACGGATTGAGTTATCTGCTCTTGTGTTGCGATAACACTGCCCCCTAGTGGGATGAAACATACATTTCACATCGTCAGTCGTGTGTAGTCAACTGGAGAAGCGCTACGTCGGCTTGATTGTGATTGGTTGGTCAATCGCGACCGATAAGTTGAATATAATAGCTTATTCGGCAGGCATCGGGAAATATTTGGATTAGTGACAATATTTGTTTGTTTGATAATGTGTTAGAGATACCTCAAGCACAACATATTTACATTTATTCTGTGTGCCCCGTTGTTATTCTCATTTAGAGTCAAGAAACACACGGAGAGAAAAATGTTAATGCCCTTCTTAATATGATATGAATTATCAATATACATTAACTGTTGCTTCGTGTTTAGAGAGTCATTTGTGGAATTCATGCAACATATTAGCCTGTTAGTGATATTTAAAAGGCCATTTTACCACCCTAACCACTTGGGTTTTATTAATCTAAGAAAAATGGAAAACGAGAACCGTTTTTACTTGATTGCATCAAATTTCTATACACACGTTATCTCGTTGTTTAAGGAAAGTATCGATAATGGTGCATCTATATATCCGGGGCCTTTGTAATCAAAGATGGACCAGCCAAATTAGTGGTTAACAGTATGAGCAACGTCTCAGCATAAGAGACGCGATAACACATAACGAATAGACTATGACCACCCGATACACTTTAGTTCTTACGACCCAGGGCCTAGATTTTCGAAGCTCTCTTAGCGCTAAGATAGTCGTAAGTTAATGTTAATGTATGGCACTTACGACTATCTTAGCGCTAAGAGAGCTTCGAAAATCTAGGCCCTGTTTCACAAAACGATCTTAGTGCCACGACTGTCGTAGCTCTATGTTAAAGTATATCAGATACGATAGTCGTAGCGTTGTTCTAAGCCCGCGTCCTCAAGGAAACAATAAATATTTCAAGCATCACGGGTGAGAATGTAAGCAGCATTTGTTTTACCAGACACTTATGAGCATGATCTTCACAGAGCCCACACAAATTTCCTGCACTCAGTTTTTGGAGGTAGGGAATTGAACTCCTGTCACAGTGTAACAATCGAAGGCTGTATCCACTCAGCTACGGAGTCGCCTCAAGTTAAGAGGACTGTCTGTCCTTGGTGAATGCAGGACATGCTTACACTCTTCGTGAACACCGGCTGTGATATTTATTAGTGATTTTTAGTGTTTGATACAGTTAATTTCCTCCACTATTATCTCTCTTACGCCTAATAGAATATGGTTCGGCAGATGATTGAAGCTGATCATTCTGTATCGTTAATTTTTTTATATTTAGTCTTGGAACAAACTTGGGAGCACAGATCCGTGTTTATTTTTAAACTTTGGATGGTGTTGGGCGACACGAGTAAAATCTTCCCATGTCAGAAATCTTGTTTTAGAGATTTGCACCAATGTCACGCAGCGCTTACGGACGTCGCTATACAATTCCTGCCGGGTGAATCAATGGCTCAGTCAATATCCCTAACGTTAGTCTTACTTGAGAAACTGTATACTAGAGAGAAGACAATCAAGCGTACACCGATAAAGTCAGCTTAAGTTCTGTTTCTGTCTTCATAGTATTCGGCTGAATGCTTTGGAATGGACCTGCTATTTTTTACGCTTTCGCTGTATGGGTATTGGCCAAGGAAACTAGACTGTGCACTTTCAATGTTATTCTTTGATCTCCTAAAAGCATTCGGAGATTCTTCTCTAATGCAGCTGAGACGTCAAGAAAGGAATGAGTCAAAAATAAGCCAGGCACCGAGAAAACACTTCAGGGAGACCGGAAATGACGTTATGCGCGAGCGATCTGTGGACGAGAAATTTGCCTGAAGCAGAAGTGGGCCGTTCCGCTCGTCCAAGTGGTCGTCTGTTAGAGAAGACCGGGCGAGGATAAATATTTGTCAAGCGGCCGTTTGGAGGTGTAATCTTATCCTGACTAAGTGCCATGTATTTGCGTTTGAACCCAAGGCTTGAAACAGCCAGTATCAACGAAGAGGACCTTTCATTTCCGTACCACGCGAGCTGTCACGCTCGCAGGAATCGGGGCCAATCGCAGACCGGAAACATCTTAATATTCAACTGAAGCGTAGTTTAATCGAGCTAATTTTCTGTTCTAACCTCTCTATCAATAAGATCCGACTTTTTGATGGCACTCTCTCCCGACACTACTCACAGTTCGATACTTGCCACTTGACGAATGCTGTTTCACCGTGCCGTCATTTGATTCCATAATAAACTTGAAGTCTGGATTTTTGACTTCCCGGCCACAATGTGCATTTAACGGAAAACAAATAAACCCTTCTCTATTCAAATAATCCCTCAATTCTCAATAAGTGAGGTTTTAATGCAAAGATAGTGAAACACAAACACAAATTTTCGTGAAATTCGACCCTGGATCCGCCTGCTTGAATAGGCCTGTCAGACTCGGTCTGAATGATGGCCGAAAATCGATTCCTTGGATTAAGAAGTTTCCCCTCTTCCTTGTGTTCAACGCTAAATCAAAGTTTGAATTATTTGAGATCCATCTAAACGATTTGCTTTGCCAATTATACCAACACA